TATGGAGCTACAGGACCTCTCATTCACTGCTAGTGGGAATGTGAAATGGTACAGCCGCTCTGGAAGAAATCTCTTTCCTAGGGAAACCCAGACTTGCCACACAAGCCGGCAACCACCGTGTTCCTAGGTATTGACCCCACTGAGTTGAAATCTTACAGCCACACAAAAACCTGCAGGTGGCTATGTATAGCGCACTTGTATATAATTGCCAAAATGTAGAGGAAACTAAGATATTCCTTAATAGGGAGATAAACTAATCAGCACAATCTATACAATGGAATACTATTCAACAATCAAAGGAAATGCGCTAACAAGCCAGGAATAGACGTGGAAAAACCTTAAATTCATATTTCTAAGTGTCAGAAGCTGAACAGAAAACACTACATACTACATGGTTCTAGTTATATGACATGTTGAAAATGATAAAACTATAGTTAAAAAAAAAAAAAAAGAGGAAGGGCTCGGAGGAGAGAGAGAATGAGCAACAGGCCTTGGAACGACTCTGCATGAAGCACAGGGGCGAGAGGGGGAGGGGCCTCTGGGAGGAGGGCTGGGGGGTGTGCGGTACGTGCTATTGTGCATTTGTCAAAACAGAACTGTGCAACACAAAGTCAACTCTAAAGTAACATCATGGATCTTCTTTCAAGCAATGTGTCCATATTAGTTCTTTGACTGTAACGAATATCTTATCGTCATACAGTGTGCGGATGATAGGGGCAGCGGCAGAGGGGAGGGTATATGGGACACCTATAATTTGGGCGTAAATTTCCTATAAAATTTATAGGAAACTTCTCTAAAAAAATGTAACAAAGGCTCTTAAAATTCCTTTGTGGATGAGTTTAACTACATAAAAACAAAACGGAAAGTCAGACTGAAAGTGCATGGCCCCTGCAGAGTTCCCGTGGGTTCAGACAGAGAACCTGAGGTATGAGGTCATCGCCAACAGAGAGATTGATGGATCTGATGGTCTGAAGCCAGGCTCAATGACTTTTGTAGACCTTTGTCCTTCATTTGTAGCATGTTCATGTCCAAGTTAAGAAATCTTTTAGCTGAAAGGCATCGTGCTTGATGACTTCTAATAAACAGCTAAACATGTAATGACTGACTGGAAAGTAGTAGGAAACAGTGCTAAGCTGCTCTTGACACCCTCCCAGGCCCCTATCTACAACCAAGCATTCACAAAGCCTCTCCCCTTTTCTTCCAGGTCTCGCCATCGCCAGCGCCCTCATAGACATTTCACAACAGAAGCCTTCAGATAATAAAGACAAGACTTCAGGAGTTCGAAACCGCAAGCCCCACCTCTCAACACGCCAAGGAACCTGTGTCTGAGCTAGAGACTGGCTTGTCGACTCTTCCATTAAAGCTGTTCTACGGCCTTGGTTTTGATGGAGGCAGATCTCTGTGTGACCCCAGGCCCGAGGACAGGTCCCTCCAAATGGGCAGTGACCCAAGTGGGCAAAGGATGTCCCGAGTCAGGCTTTTATGAAATGTCGCAGTGTTGATGGTGACAGGTGACAGACTCACTGTTTATGATGATCAGGGCTTCATCCTTGATACCTTCAAACTACTCCTGAGGACGGGGTGGGGGTGGGGTGGGATAAGAAGATGTCTATTGTTTCTTAATGCAGATGAAAACTATGTAATTCGTACGAACCAAACTGTTTATACCCCCAGACTTTGAAGAAAGACATTTTATAATTCGAGAATGACTGAGAATTGTACAGTTTTTTGCCTCATAAGCAAACTTGAATCACCTGTATAAGGACAGGACATGAACCCAATGGCTTTAAATGCTCGCTTCTCTCACTGTACTTGTGAAGGCTTTTGATTGAATAGGGGTAGGCAACGTATTTAAATGTTTCACACCATGACTCTCACCTCGACGGGCAGTCTGAGAACAGGATGATTGTTCACCGCACTGGGATGCAGATGAAAAATCAGGCCCACCTGGATGGAGGGCGCGTACAACGTCATAAGAGGTTTCTTTGAATTCTGAGTGCGGAGCATATTCCTGCCATCCATGCCAACCGCCTAATTCATTATCGGAGCTGAGAGAGTATGGAAAAACCTATCCAGGAATCAGTTTTTCCCCTCCTTTCAAACAGCGTCGGATACCAGAGGCCTGAGGAGCTCAAAGGTCGTTCTCTGACCATGTGCCAGCATCAGCTCCTGTTTGGAACGTAATGTTTTGTCCTGGCCCAGGGATCACTGGGTCCGACCAGAACAATCCCTCTGCCTCTTTATCAGAACAGGCCATCTTCTGGTCTTCCTCTTGCAGCTGCTAGATTTGACCTACCTTCCCAACGGCTACGACAAGGGTCGGAGGCGACACCTTCCATGGCGGTGGCCTGCGCTCCAAGGTCCTTCCTGCCCCCCGACTTCATGGAGAGTAGAAGTGGGGGTACGCACGCCCTGGCTGCTCGTGCTTCCCACATAAACACGCACCAGTGTCCGGAGGGAACTGTCAGAAATTCCACAGAGCCCTCGCTGCCCACGTTCATCGTGCCCGAATGACTGAAAAATCTGAAGGATGGCAGGGAAGGCGAAATGATAGGGTAAAATACCAGCCTATCCACAGAGGTCTGCTGAAGTTCAGTAGGATGTGTGAGATCCCAGTTTCTTCACTGCCAGGTGGCCCCTGGAGAAATGGAGAGAACCGTAATAGATATCCAAAGTTCTTGAATACGATCAAGTTTGTTCACTACAAAAGCCATTTAAAAACCATGGACAGTTCGTACTAGCTGTGTCCTCCTCGGCGTCTCTGGGGTTTGGGGAAGGTGAATGGCACGTCACTGTTTACAGCTGATGCACAGTCTCTTGCATGCCACCTTGGTGCACTAGCAGACTACGACCCCCTTGTGATATTACGTGTTTATTTCAGAATACCGTTTACACATAGTCAGCTTAAGTTGGTGAAGATGGAATGCAAAATGTAACCGGAATGACTATACAACATATAGTTGCATCGGATATAAGACTGCTGGATTGCATCTAACCATGACTATGTCATTGTTTTTATCATTAGGCATTTATGAAATATAGTATCTATTCCTTATGTTGGCATGATGGTTTTGCTCTTTTCCACATGTTAAAAATCAGTATCTCTTAGAGTAATTCTCTCTATAGCCTGTAAAGTTTTATTTGAGGGGGAGGGGGATGAGGCCGTTTATTTTTATCTCCCTATGATGTTTTCACACTCAGTCAAAGACAGAGTGAGCTGAGTTCATCAAAGTCGCCTAAAAACAAGTAGTTTCATCAGCTTCTTTCTGGACCCTTTAAATGTTGATTTTCTTTTCTCATTGAAAAATGAATTGACCAAAATATAATCCTTTAAAAATAAAACCATTGCTCAATTTGTTCCATTCTGTAATCATCATGAGAAAAAGTTTATGTTGTGAAAATACAAAGACGTACAGAGTTGTGTGCAAAATTT